GAGAGAAGAGATTCCAAAGAGATAGTTCCATCATGTAAAGTGTAAGGAATGTTATAAGTTGGATTAATTGAGAATGTTTAAAATTAGTTTTTTTATATAGTTATTTTATTATATCTATATTGTAATTAATATTTAAAACATCAAAATAAAAAAAAACTGTAATCTTATACTTTCTAAATTTATATCGAATTTATTCAAATTCAGTAAATTGTTTTTGTGAAATAGAATTTAAAAAAAAAATCCAATTGTAAGTTCTATAAAATTAATGCCTAATTTTTATCATTATCGTTATGCAAATAGGTTTGATCATCAAGATAAGCTATTGTGAAGTTACTCAAAAAAAAGCATAATGTTTATCTTTTCTTAACACCAACTCTGGCAAACATTACAATATATACAAGTATATATATTTTTTAATCTTTATCTATTAAAAATTTATTACTATAAAGAACATATTTTAGTCTATATACTATAAAATTTTGATAAAAATTAATTACAACAGTAAAAAGTTTTATTAGTAGAATATTTTTATTTTCTATATAAATTATGTTGTACTACTAAAATTATATGATAAAAAAAAATCATATGATAAAATGATCTACCCTTAAATAAACTTCTCACCCCTATTTGTAAATCTAAATAAGTTTTCTTGCTCTGAATTTTTAATAAAAGTGCGTGTTTATTTTTTTTTTATGAAATAGAAGACTAATTTTGGAAATAAATATAAGATATCGGATGCAAAATTCAAAAAAAAATTTTGAATATTTTGAAATTTTCTTATCAGTAATGAAATATACCAATAATTCTTTTATTACTTCTTCTTCTAAAGGAGATGTATTCAAAATTAAAGTTTTCAGATTAGTTAAAAATAAAATAAAAATTGACTACCAAATGGTGAGTTGAGATAATTATATTACTAAGTGATCGTTTAGTTGTTATACATCTAAAGTTATGCTGCCACTAGGATAATATGATAGACAAAAAACTGAAAGCACATCATGGCCACAGGGGATGTTACAAGAACCAAGTAATAATTGCTTGTAAATGTCCTTCTCTGTTTTATCTGTTATCCAAATAGTGAATAGGATGCATGGATAAATGGCTGTATTGGTTCCAATGCATGTTCCTTAATGATGATAATGACAATTACTTACAGTTTTTTTTTTATAGGTTATTAAGAGGTGATGGTAGCATAGATATGTTCAGCAATCATAATCATTACTTACTATTGTTTCAATGCAAAGATCTTACTAACAAAGTTGAAGTTGATTTTATTCAAGATTTTGAAAGTGTTGTATCAAGATTTGATAAGCAAACTACAATCAGAATTTATATTACATCAGCAAAGGATGGTTATTCGAGCAGTGCTATAGGAAAAGCTGAATCATCTGAATACCATTTACTATTAATAAACATACATGATCTGTGTTAGGACATTCCTAAATACTTGTCTAAAGTATTAAAAGATAATTCTGTCAATGAAAAGATTTATAAGATAGAAGAAAAGGTAGATGAAATAATTGAGATACTCATATGTCAAGAGAAGTTCATATATAAAATTATCAATGATAGAATCAAAATTGAAAATAAGCAAATTAAGTTGAAAAAAAAACAAATTGGAATAGAATGTAAACAAGAAAAAATCATTTTTTATAATTCTATATTAATATTGATTGTTGTAGTTTCTGTATTAGTTAAATATGATTTTTTCTTGTAATTATAAATATTATAAACTAAAAACTATTAACAGTACATGTATTGTTTATTAAATATAAATATAAATGAACTTTAACCTTAAATCCTAACTTAACCATAAAATAAAAGCTGACAAAAAAGGCTTTAAAAATTTTAAAAATCGTATATAAAATAGATTCAAATTTCATATCATCCAATTTTACGATCGTCCATGACATAAATATTAAAAGTCCAAAAAATTATTTTATTTGACATCTATTGCCAGGCCCAAATTTGTTAAATTATAAGCCAAATTAATACAATTTATTAGAGTTAGCACATATTAAACTCAGTTAATTCTCTGACAGCATCTTGATTCTGTAGGAGAATGAAATGAGTTTGAATAATAAAATTTAAATTATTAACAATATTGATATTGAATTATATTATATAATAAATAAAAATATATCAAAAAAGAATTTCTTATAGTACAATACATGCTTCGTTTAATATTTCAAAAGATATTATACACAAAAAATAATTTATACATTTATAAATAGATAGATATTGGATTTTCTTTAGTATAAATATATATACATAAATTCTTATAAGTTTAAAATATATAAAAGTAATTAATTTGAGTAATTTAAATTTTAACCTTAACTTTGATTTTAATAGTTTATAAAATTACTTTAAATTGGTTCAAAATAGTTAATTTATATATATTATAATTGTATAAAAATTATATATATTTATTTATACTAAAAATTGATTTTAGGAAGCTATATAATATAATTGTGTCATCTTTCTATCTCCCAAACATCCATATGGTAAGAAACATGTAGTAGCTGATATAAAATCATATTTTGGATTTTGTTAGCCATCTGTTATCGCAGTTCCATCTGTCAAAGTGTGTTTTATCATAACTCTTAAAAATTCTTTTTATATTAGACAAATTGTAGAGTTTAAGTATATGCCCTTAGAGTCAAAATACATATTCAATTTGAAATTATAACTGATACTTAAATTGAAAATTATATGTAACTTTATTTAATTAATAATATAATTTCAAAAATCTTCATTTATAACAATAATAAAATATCACCAATATCATAAGTTTTTGAATTATGTGGAAGGCCAGGATAATGACAATTAGATCCAATGTACAGGGCAGACTATGGTACCTTGCACAGCTGTGAGAGCCGAGCATACGATGATTGATCCTGTAGAAGACAATTTTGAAAGATCATTTACAATATCTTTAATCCCCTATGATCTTTACACATGTTTCAACAAATTTCTCCTTCATTACAATTTACCACTTCTCTCTCATGGTCAAACTATTCAAACTTTAATTCAACATATTGATAAATATAATAATAACAAAATAGTATCTTGTATCACATTTTCTGTTAATTTATCTTATAACGAAACACATATATACCTTCCTAATGACACTCTTTTATCAGACCACATGGTCATTACTCCCTATCTTCTTCTTATATTCTACAATCTTTCTCTTAGATCTAACTCCTTTAATCCTACTTCTATCTTATTTGATTTATTTTTCAACAACCATTCTTCAATCTCTAATCATAATTCTTCCTTACCTTTATCTAATTCAGCATTATATCATCTCAACCCAACTATTGTTACACATAATATTAGAGGCTTTAATGATTCTACTAAGAGAGAAGCATGGCAGGATTATTACCTCAATCATAACATATCTATTGAAAGCATCACAGAAACAAAAATCTCTGACAAATCTAATCTTTTTTTTTGTAATAACAACTTTTTTACTTACTACTGGTCTAATTCTCTTACCTCTTTGGAAGGCACTGCAATTATGATTTGCAACCATCTTAAACCTCATATTCACAGTATCTATACCCATCCTGGAGGTGCCATAGCACTTGATATCTTCTTTCAAAATAATATTAAGCTTCACATCATTTTAGTATACTTGTCATTAACTGATACTTCTATCTGTAATCAAACTCAAAATAAAGTAATCAACTGGATTCAACAAGCCTTACAACTTCATATTCATTCTATTATCCTTGGTGACTTTAATAAACAGGATAATTCTCATAACTCCTTCTTTAAATATAAACTTATTAATTTTCTTAATAATTCTAATATGTATAACATTTGAGCTTACTTCAATAACAAACACTTCATCTAGTCTAACAATACTAGCAGTAGTCATATTAACTACATCTGGACTAACCAATTCAATATACAATTTCTTCTTTCTTACAGTCTTGATAATAGCCAAACTTCTA